ATGTAAAGTTATTTATTTGCAAAAAGATACAAATTTAGATTAGCAGCGAGTTCCAGAAATATCGTCGCTCATTTCTCTTCAAAACTTGAAGAGCAACTTGGAATAAATTTTTTCTTAATGGAAATTTGATTGGACATTTGTTTTCTCATAACTTTGCAACTTTCCTCATTAAATACCTTTGTAACTAAGCTCCAATTTAAGATTCTTTTAAAGTAAAGTTTAGTTTAAATAGAACAGCTAAGGGGAGGGGGGGAACAGGCCATCTTTGTTATTCGTGGAATTTAATGCGCGACAAAATCTTATAATCTTTCTTTCTAGTCTTCAATATCTCAATAACTAACTATTTATACCGAAATACAATCATCCTTTATTTTTATTAATATATTCTTCACTCTAATATAACCGACAATAATTCTGGAAAATCAATTACACATTTCGTCAAAAATTGTCAATCTCGACAATGAGAATAAAACTGTACTTCAATTGTGTCATAAAGTTTCTCCTTTCTGCATTATCATATGATGAAAAATATTAGCACGATCTTGCTTCTTACTGTCGCTTTCGATGACGCGTGTTTACTTATGAATTTTTGCATCACGCTGGGATTAACCACTAATTGGTCCACGTATCGGAAAGTTGTAAACAAAGCACTACTTACCGGTGGTGACCACGCTGGGCAGCACCCCGGTCGCAGTGACGGCCGAGGGTGTGTCGGGCGCGACGGTGTCCGCGACCTGCGTTTGCGTCGGTCTAGGATCATAGGTCGTCGTGCTGTCGACGTAGTCGGCGCTAAGCTCATAATTCGTCATCGCCTGATGATTGTAATTCGTGTAACCGCCGGTGCCGGGCCCTGACGACGTGTACTCACTACCGCCGTACGTATACCTACTCGAAATACGCACTCCGATGAGTCGCGTTGTTTATGAGAAGTGCAAGTTGGCATCAGAAACGAAAGAAATAAAAAAAAAAAAACCAAAAAAAAGAAAAAACAAAAAACAAAACAGTCAATAATATTCGTATTTAAATTTATATTACAACGATGGGAATTATATTAAGCTATTTATTGCGAATAGATCTTCGTAAGACTCTGGTTAAATTTTGTTGAATTTTGTCGAATGAAATGGAGAAAATTTTCGGATGCTTTTAGCAAGTTTAATATAACGTTCCCTTATTTTAATATAGATTTTCAATTGTACTTACCCGCCATTGTAGGGGTGGTGTTGATCCGAACTGCTTGGCGTCTGATGCTCGAACACGCTGCTGTCCGGCGCTGTTTCCGAGGCCGCTCTCATTTGCGCCCTATGAAATCTGACCTCGTCCTCGACTTTTTCCCGTTGTTTTTTCGACATGCGCCCAAATTTAACGGCTTTAAACAAAACAGAGAGTTTCATTAAGATTATTATGTTAGATCGAACAATTAAAGAGTTAATCAGTTAAGAATAAATAAATTGACATTAGTAACGATTCGTTCGTTTTGTATTCGATGATATTAATTCAAGTACAGATTAAGATATGCTAAATGAAAAATTATTATATTTTAAATTAAAATATGCTAAACATGCTTTTATAAAAAAAAAATATTTTTTACATCTTCATTGCTTTCAATATATTAAATAAAATCGATAAAAAATTATCAATTGTTTATGATTATGAAATTATTTTTTGACATTCTTTCATAATGTCTTTTGTCCATGTTTTAATTAATTTAAGTTCATTAAATTACAAATCAATAATGATATTAATTCTTAAATGCTATACATCGTGTACAGCATAAAATATAAATTCCAGAATTCTAAGAATTTCACAAAATAAATAATATGTAGAGCTTAATCATTCGATGTACTTTGAGATCAAAATAGTCTTTTATACTACGCATAAATTTTTTTCCGTCAGCCTTGTAGAAATATCGATTTTTATTCTATCTTATACTTATTATACCAAGTTATGCAAGCGACATAAAAATTTCATTGCAATTCTCTCGCCACGCAACTTCCAGATAAGGAAAAAAAAACATGTATAATTAAATAGCGCCAAACGCTCTGAATTTATCGTTTCTTTTGTTACTCTAATCTTTTATTCTATTTTTACGAACTTTATCGGCTGTTACGAACAATCATAGAGATCAGATAAGAAAGACCATCAATGCGACAGCTCATTGTGAGGTGATAAAATCTAACGGGTGTTCTACGGATCGAGATTGTGCCATCGCACACGAGCCATCTCTCTCCCTTGGCCGCTCGGCGGACCGGTCGGTCCCTTCCTTGCCATAAAGAAGGCATGGCGAAGAACGCGGAAGAGCCTCGCCGCGTCCTCCTCGTCTTCTTCGGCGACGCTATCGTCGTCTGGTCGCGACGCACCCACCCGATGACGTCACACAGCGCGTACTATAGCTTGGGCAATGCACGTGTGCTATTCCGAAAGCATAATATGATAGTCAGAATAGCCGTAACTTTATGTACGATTTCGTGTATTGAGATTTTTGGATCACTTTGGAATCGGCTTTCTCTCGATAAAAATATTAAGGTATTTAATAGTTTTTTTTTTTTTTTAATTAAAAATTAGACTTGCGTGAATTAAGTTCGGATAAATAAAATCTTGTTTTCAGTTAATATTATATTTAATTGATAATATATTATGTAATTTGTACATTACATAATATCACATTAAGTTCATTACATATTACATTTTCTTAATTGCAGTTTTGCTCTTTTAATCACTTTCAAGGTTTGACCTTTTTCAGTAGCATTTTACTTCCACTTGCGCAATTAAGATTGCAAAATTATTGCACATTTGCTAACGTAGAGAGTTTAATTTTTATAACTACTTGAGACGTTAATTTTTAAGGTTGTTGACGAAACTGAGAAAGAATTGCTAAAATATCTTTGAAAATTACATTTTTAATTATAAGAAGAAATTTTCCATTTTTCTACCGCCGATTTAATTTTGAAATGAAATTTTATAAAATCGAGAAAAATTGAATTGAAAATTACGCCATAAAAACATAAATTAATTACAGAGTGCAAATAATAATTTTTGAAAATACTGACGAATGTTTTTTAATTGTTTTTTCCCAACGTGCAGAATAAATTTGCTTCATTAAAATGTGTTTTACATTATTTCACGCCGAAAATATTAGATGTCAATGTATTTCTCAATCGAAAATAAAATAGAAAAAAAGAACAAAACAGCAACAAAGGAAAGCAATAACTTTTGTTTATTTTTTTTTCAATAATCTCAGTGGTGCGAAAAATAACCTTTTTCGACTACTTTGCTCACGGTATCAATGCATTCTCGATTTATCCGGTTGCTGCACGCGTACAATCATACGCGTACGTGTCACAAGGGTGGTCGAGGGTTCGAATGACGAGTGGGGACCGAGGGGATGATAAGAGGAATCGCGACGTCAGCGGCTAACCAAACAGCTATCGTGCGGAGGTACGGCGAAGAGAAGAGAGAGGAAAGCGGAGGGTGATCGACCGAACGCGGATAAAGCGCGAACGAGAGAATGAAACGAAGAGAGAAGGAAGGAGAGAGAGACGGAGATGGCAACAGGAAGAGTATGCACCGACCGGTAGCTTACGATGCACTTTCTGGCATTCTGTGTACGAGCGCGCACGCGTTGAGTAGAAACGATGTGTTTGCTGCTTATCGTGCCGGAGGGTAAATAAAGTGATACTGAATTTGAAATGCGCGTCGAGACGGGTCCCACTCTAAATCCTAGTTTAATCCTTTCAAGCCCTTATTTATTAAAAAAAAAAAAAATTTCGTTTCTTAAGGTGCTCTTTGCATTATTATCAATTTTTTTATTCTTTATTTCACGAGTGATGAAATAATTAAAACATCAAATAACTAGAATTTAATTAATTAATTAGTTACTGTCAATGTACTTGTGTAATTTGTAATATGATATTTTGAAAGAGTCAAATTAAATTATTAAGAATTATATAAAAAATTTATATATTCATTTATATATTAGTAAAAAGAATTGGCAATTTTTAAAAATCTAGCAAATTTTAACAAATTTTAAATGTTAAATATGAAATTTTTGCTACTGATATGTGGCACATTTAAATGAATCTCTAATATTTTATTAAAAATACTTTAATCTCTATTAAAATTAACTTTCTAATATACAGTTCAATCTTGTTTTGTTTCAAATATTGAAACATATTTACCTATATTCAATACATTTCTCTGCAAGAAATATTACAAAACTTAATTGTAGTCACTAGGTGTAATAAAATAGAGGAGTCCACTCCAAAACCAAAAATCGAGTGTAACATCCTGTCATTATATTATAATTAACACTTTTATCAGAAACGCGTGATTTTTACATTATTCAGTCGCTACATTTTATTATTTATTTATTATATCGTATAATGAATAATTTTAACGGGCCAGATTTGAACGCAAATCGTGCAACGACCGCTGTTGACGGTATTTGTCCGGAGAAAAAAGCTATGTTTGATAATTGGCCATCGAAAAGCAGGAAGCTGCGGTCATGCCTGAATATCGCGGCTAAATATCGTTCGAGTCATGTGAAGCGACAAAACATTTTGACTTCGCGTAAAATTATTTATTATGAGAACAATTAATAATATATGTAATTATGTTAATAACAAAATATATAATATAAAAAATATTTTAATTATATAATATATTATAAAACTAAACTACATAGTAAAATGTGAAAAAATTATTTAATAAATCTTTACTTGAATATATGTATAGGTATACTTTTTGAAATCCGTAAATTATTCAAATCAAAATCCGCTTTACTAATAAGATTATTTTCAAATTTATACTATTTTTATTTTAAATTTTATTTTAATTAAATTTTTATTTTAAATTTTAAATTTAGAAATCATTTAATATGGTATTAATTATCGAAATATACTAGCAATTAAAAATTCTTGGTAATTTAAATTTTAAAGTAATAAACACATTTGAAATGTAGCATAAGAAATCAACACTAATTAGCATCATTTTGATATTAAAACAAAAATTTTTGTTATCGATAATAATACAATATTATACGTGTTTGCTGTGTATTTGATCTATTTTTATATTATTTATATACAATTCGTAATCAACTACCTTTTATTAACAACTGTATGTAAATTGTCGTGTCGAATGGTGTTTGTGGCGTTTTCGAGATCTTTGATCGCACGACACTCAATTTAGATTCGCGGAAGTCACAATCACGAGATTACAAAAATAGCTGGCGCATATAAAATTTATGCCACACCTTTGCTAGTCAAATCGGGTTTATTTATCGAACGATGTAAAGAAGTTCAATAATGCGAAATCGAAGGACAAAACAAATTTGTTAGAGTAATAACACTATTTTTTTTCGAGATATATCAAAAAATAAATGCACTGTTTTTAAAAATATTTGAAATCAATCATTTTTCAAGCAAAAAGAATACAAATGGACAATTCCTCTTTAATTTTTTATGGTAAATTACTCAATAATTACATTACTAGTAAGTTTATTTACTTCATTTATATTTATTGGAAGAATTATCTCCTATTAATTAAAAAATAATATTTATTTAATTACTTATCCTTTTAAAACTTGTTTGAAAATCTTCAAATACTAAACTTTTATTAAACGATGTATACGTATCTGGAATATTAAATTACGAGAGTCAAAAAGGAACCTTAATGTGGCAATGAAAAAGAACTGTAAATATTAAGATTACTTTTTGATTTCTTCTTTGTATATTAAAATTTTATCGAGTAAATAATATATCCTCTTGCATATTGAGAAATAAGTTTCCGCCTTTGATGCACATTTTTCGGGACACCATATGTATCTGTCGCGATAATCGCACGATATGTCTACGGTGTGTTGCCATACCGTGTACATTGATAAGGAATCCGGTTCATCGTCTTCTCGAAGCACACATGCGTATACCTCATGTAACTTAGATGCATCTTCGTGCGAACAACTTTGATAATGTTGAGTTGTCAGTTCGTCAATCAACTTAGATCGATCACAAAACTGTTCAAATTTTATCTGTTTTATCTTTATTATTTTATTATTAGTCACAAATTTAATAAAAAACCTATTATCCTTTTCTAAAACATTATTCTCTTATTATTAATTTTTGTTCTTGAGATTTTTCTAAACGAAATGCAATTTAATAAAATACAATAACATTACGAGGCATGTTATGCTTATTTGCAACAATAAATAGTAAAAAATCTTTGAATAATAGAAGAATCAACCGCACGCAATTTCACTCGGATCCAGGATCGCCACCTTAACTACCATATTTCCGACCGGCTTCGCCCGATAGACTTTATCTGCTCACCCACGAGGTATCTTCCGTCTCGATTCGTCTTGACGGCCTTGTCTATTAATATCACAGCCGCCTTCGAGAATAGGCTTCGGACAACGTATACAAACGCAGCGGTTTAACGCGCCGAAGACAGTTCGTGGCTCGTTCTGATAAGGTGCAGCGATGACTCGCCGCCGGGAGGAGAGACGGATTCTGATAAGGGGTCGTGCACCCCGGGTTGGCGTGCGTAGCAATTCGCATCTATAAAGCTGCCTTCGTCATATGTTTCTCCGATTTTTCGTCCGAAAGAATTTATTTTGCGTCACCTGATAATGCTTGATACATTATGCAAGAATTTATTACTAAGAATGCTCTTACTTTTTTTACTCGCAATTTAATTTGTCGGAAATTTAAAGATGTAACAATGCAATATTAATATTTAAATCTAAACGAATTGAGTTAAGTTAGTTAAGTTTCTACAAGAATTGAATTTGGTGCAATCATGTCGTTTTTAAATATTCATCGAAACATTATACGTAAAAGTGTATGATTATTTTGCGTCGACGAAAAATATCGCGTTAGACGCGTCCATTTTACGGATTTCATTTTTTTTCCCCGTCACGCATTATTCGTTCACATATTGCGTCATATTATCTGCATCAAGTAAATATCGAGCATTGGTGTTGTCCGAACATGTCGCAATATCGTATCTGCGCGCGACAGTCTTTCGAACAAAGGAGCTTTTTAAATAACTCGTGTGACGCTACGCTATGTTCTACGTTAATCCCGTGGAATTATATCACGCAAGATCTGTTTGGATAGTATCCACCGATTGTGTGAATAAGATATTACCGCGTTTGTCGCACAGACGCGTAATGTTATGGAATTATTTTAGATCATTATCTAAGATTAAATTAAATTCCGAAACTATTACAATATAATGATTCTATTATCTTCTTACGAATTCATTGTTTTCTCATAAAGGAAAGAATTTTCTTTATCTTATTGTATATAGACATTCAGAAGAAAGAATGTAATGATATTTGTATAATATATAATCTCTCTAATTTGAAAATAATATAATATACAAAAATACATGAAGTAAACTGTATTAAGTCACATGAACATAATTTTTCAGAAGGATTTAAAGAGACTTTTCATATTCTTTCAATAAAATATTTATAATGTTTCGTATTCACAGACATAATATCAAACTTCGATATGTTTCGGAAAATGAAGTTGTGTGAATACGATTTTAATGTGACTTAACTTTATCCAACCAAAATCTCTATTAAAATGAAAATATTCACTAAAAACATTTGCCATTGGGTAAAAATTGGATTACAGAGTCTCGTAATAACATTAACACAGTTTTCGTGAAAAAATGTGACTTAGCACAGTTTACCTCGTATACTTTTTTTCTGATTTGATAACAAGGATAATGTGTGAAGCGATAAAAACCTCCATATGTCTGCATTTCGAGAATTGTACAGATTGACGCGACTTTTCGCCGTTTTGACGAAGGTGATGAAAGATTAGAGCAGTTGAAAGCACTCACCATCTCTTGACATGCCGAGGCGTAGGCACTTTTGCAACCGACAGTACTGGCACCGGTTTCTGTTTACACGGTCGACCACACAATTCTTGTTCCGCGGACATTGATAGTTGACGACCGACGACTGCGACCGCCTGAAGAAGCCCTTGCAGCCCTCGCAGGTGATCACGCCGTAATGCACGCCGCTGCTCTTGTCCCCGCACACCTTGCACGGGATTATCTCGATCTGGGCTGTAACCATAAAAGAAACGAATACCTCAATTATGAGCTCCTGTAAGGACGTCTTGCAAAACCTCTCTCGCGTTTTATAACCTACAACAGTCTTTTATTTTTATTTCGAGCATTTCATCAAGCTTTAAGAGTTGCTCGTACGTATGTACATATCTGGAAATTACGATCATTTACGCGCGCGAACGCGCATTTGCACATTTTCCTTCTCTCTCTCGGATCTCCCCCTCGTTGCTCCAACATGCCTCACATCTTTTGCTTCAAGGATTTTCGCTAAGTTATTTCGAAATTTAATTCTCTGTTTTATACGTGGCACAATATAATAACGTAATAAGAATCTTTCTTTGTAAAAAGCTTATTGTAAAATACGATTTACCTCCGCCACGAAATAATATACAAATTTCTAATGATATAAGTACGAATAATACGTGTGCTCCAAATTGTACGTAATTTAGGAATTATGAAATCATTATAATTTTGGTAAATTCAATATTCCATACCGAGCACAAGAAAGCACACATCAGATATTATGTTTCTTATATTACGTTTTTTTTATATAACGTTGTACTACGTTACGAATTTCAGAATTATAAGAATAAGTTTGAATCTGTGCTATAGCCCGATTGCATCTTTTCTACATTCCATTCCTTTGACGGTTCTACCTCGTATCGAATTGGTTTGCAATCTACGATCATCGAGGATCGCGCTGCCTGCGCCGACTGGAATCTGCGAGGATCTCTCTCTCGATCTCGATCCTTCCGTCGGCTGAGGACTCGTACTGTCCGCACCCCACGTAGGCCCGCCAAATCCTGACAGACTTCCCTCCATTTACGGATCTTTCTTGCTGGTTTCATTTACGATTTATACGTGTAAACTATATCAGCTCGATCCTGAAGATCCGCGCACGTGATTGCAATTGATATCGATCGTCCATTGAATCCGTCCTTAATGAGTCTTCAAATTAGTCTTTTTCTCAAATTCACACAACCGAATTTCACAGTTTGTTTTGCACGAAGAGTTTTAGAAAATATATCGTCACTGCTGAAGTGTATTTGTTGAATTTCTCCCCAATTAATGCTAAGATTATTTAAAATATTCATACTGTAAAAAATATATATAATGTAAGACAATCTTGAGAATTAAATTCATTATTTATTTATTGCTGCTTAATTTTTATTTTAATATTAAATTATACTTATCACTAAATTAGTCTAAATTATTTTTTTATTTGTTTGAAGCATGAGAAAATTACATTTTTATAAAGAAAGTAACTTGATGAATTTTTAAATAAAAAGAATTTATAAAAGCTTCGAAATTTAATAACACTTGTGCTTAAAGGAAATCTCTTAAAGGAAAATATTATCTCTCTAGAATTCTATTTTGCAAGAAATAAAGATTTTGGATAAATTCATGAGTTTTAAAAATTAACGTCTGAAATTCTTCGCTTATCGACAATAAAAAAATAATGGTATTCAGTTAGACACAGGATGTGGCTATCATAATCTAGCTCAATTTCTAGTAGATACTAGTATAAACTGCATGACCCGATGTACATCTGTATAAACTTCACAATCTGACTTAATGCGAAATATTTTCCCAATTTCTAGACCTGAGAATAGATTAAAAATTGTAAAATCGTTATCAAAGACGAAATAACGACTCAAATAACGAATTCACAAATATTCGCAATACTATTATATATTTTTTGCTAAAAAATTTACGATAAAATATTTATTTTAGTATTAAACTCTAACTTATTATATAAATTAATAGTATAAAATTATTTAGCCACGTAAACGTGCATGAAAAATACAAGCTCAAAAATTAACAGGGGAAATTTGTAGATAAACATATACAATTGTTATATAACATAATTGGCAAAATATAAAGTATAAAAGAAATTTATAAAAGTGCAAAGAGCTTTGTACTCAGACAACAGCGCTCTCTTTATTTTCATCTTCAACAAGAAAAGGCGAATATATGCATCGTCGGGAATTAAGTTTCTTTTGGAAATACTTTGTTATTACGACATACATATTAATTTCAGAAAAAACACGAATTTTAAAGCATAAAAGAAAATACATTGTTTTTTTTAGGAAACTTGTTATGTTGATTTCATAACTTTTTTTATTTAAAAATTTTTATATTAGAGATCCGTAGGTCTTCCAAAACAGCGTTTTTAGATCATTATGTAACTTCGAATTTTAATCGAAAGAATTTTTGAAGTCTTTAGGCTTTCGAATTATAAAGAGTTCGGATTGCAGCATTTTGCTAATTATCGAAATTTTTTTCCACGAATCTTAAAAATCATTGTCTATATCAAACATTCCCAAATCATTATATTCTTACGTTTTTAGTCAAACATACATCACCCATGCATTAGAAATAAAATCTAAAAGCAATTCTTCATTCACTGCATAATTTATTCTTCCCTAGAAATTGTATCGACGATTTTGGAGGTTGAAAAATGTCGAGAAATAAGAGACCTCGGTAGCACAGCGACAGAAAAAGCCCGATGCAAAGCAGCGTCGTGTAATGGAAAAGGGCCGGGCGAGAGGGAGATGATGATTCGCACGTGTGCGTGTGCGTGTATGAAAGCAAGGATTTGGTGCGCGGCCGGCCCGTCTAGATATATCACCCGAGTGCGCTCTTCTCTCTCTCTCTCTCTCCCTCTCT